AAACCCCATTTGTTTAAAACTCACTAGAGTGTATAGGTGGGTGCACGAAAGCGTGCTTGGGAAGAAGCACTTGGGACTTCTACGATCTACTTCAACGAGTTACATACAATTCGAGGTCATCCGGTTAATGCTTGATCATTTCCATATGGTTCACTAAGGCAGGATTCAAACCACATCGTTTGGAATAGAGGACTCTAACCTTTTGAAATGTTGGTTTGTTGGTTACTCTATTCGAGTTATACAGGTCTTATGCATTTTACTGTGGTCTCAGGCGTGAATTTCATTTTATGGGATTTCGCTAATTCCTCATTAGTTAATTGCAGCTTATTGGTGAGGGAATTCGCGATGATACAAAAAGACTACTGGACAGCTATTCTGTCCTTGATGGAACTCATTAGTTGTGTATACTTTCACTGTCTCAGCCGGGACTAGAAATCGGATTTGGGGTCCAACCCCCACCTCTGAGTCAGTGTGAATTTCTTGACACAAAGGTTGGTAGTTTGATTGACAACCAGAATGACTGACCTCTTTCAACGGGGTATTGCAAAGCACTTCCATGCGGGCGGTTTCTTGATTGGCTTTGGCTGCTAAATCCCAAGGGATGGCACAGATTCGCACTCGACCGCGGTGTCTAGATGGGCCGTATTTGTTTCGGAGTGACAAGTGACGAATCACAAACACCAACGCACTCCGATCGGCCCATAAGGCAAGCGGTAATATCTGCTCTTCTGATCGATTACACAAGTTGGACACATTAGCTAGACGTAGAGATCGTATCAGCGTGCGATTGGTAATCAGCTGCTCGGGGGATGTCGACCACAATGCGTCCACAGTGGGTCCGGATGCACGATTCGGACGCGACTTAGGCGCATCGATTGACCGGTTCGAACAACTGTCTGATTGTTTCCACAGAGCAGCAGGAATGAATCGTAAAATGTGAAATGCCGTGGGCCCGCTAAACGTGTAAGTCACATCGATCGCATTTTGCGGCTGTACTAAGTCTGAGTCAAACGAGTCCGATGGAAGGTTGACTAAAAGAGTATGAGTAGGTGAAATAAAATGGGAATAATGAGGAGCAAATTAAACAACTTAAAAATCCGATAACGGTGTGCTGAACAGTTATAATTATAAACGATATTGTATGTGAGGTGAGAGTTGGGCAATCGATGTGCATTATTTTGTATATTCAAATGCGATCAAAACACATGAAGGGTGCGTCATCGAGATTGAAAAAATCAAAAAACGGATGACGTAAAACTCGAACTGATTTTCATGCTAATGGTAGTACATGATATGCTATATTTCACACTTAGATACAGTTTCAAAAGCAAACAAAAAAAATACCTGCCGGAGCGCCAATTTTGACACTGCAATAGTTAAGATAAAGGCACGGTTCCCGTTGCCTAATTATGAAAAATGAACCGGGGAAACCGTGTCCGAGAATTATCTTCAGTATTTATTTCTTACACCGGCTTGTGAACAAGCATGGTGCCAACGCCACAACAATATTAATAATAAGAATAATAGTGGATATGTGGATCGAGGTACGGAGAAAATTGGAAAGAGGATGAAACAGTTAGATATGGGAAAATGGAAGATAACTGGGATAACAAAATTTTTTGTGTTTCACCGTACACTTTGTGATTTTTCGACAGGCGGACCGTACAGCATTCGGATATCATGGCGGCGCCACAGGTGTCGCAGGTTGGCGAAAGCTTCTCTAGCTTTCGCTATTCGTGATGTGACCTCCTCCCCAACACCACCACCAGCTGCAATCAAGCTCCCGAGGTACTCAAAGCTTTCAACTACTTCCAGCTGATCACCACAGGGGACGAGTGCAGGCAGAAGCTCCTGCCGGTCTTGAACTTTGCACTTTGATGGTGCAAAGCACATACCATACCTGAATACCTCGATCGCCAAGCGGTTCAAAGCGTTTGGACCGCCTGTGTGTTGTCACCAAGCAAGGCGATGTCATCGGAATATTCCAAGTCAAGAACTCCCTTCCCTGAGAGTTCGGCTCCATCGTTTGCTAGACCGGACAAAGCATTCTGTAGAACATCCTCTATGGCGAAGTTGGAAAGAAATGGGGATACAGGGCAGCCTTGCCGACGGCGAAGGGTGGCGAAAGTTAGCCATAGGCCCTAACCTAACCTGAGGTATGACGATACAACTTTTTGAGGATCGACACACTCCATTCATCAACAAACAGCTGTATAGTGCGGTCATATCGATGGAGTTGAACGCCGCACGGATGTGTAAGAATACAATGATCGTTGGTCTTCAGTGGGCATGACAGTGCTTTAGCAGCTATCGGAGGAAGATTTGATCGATGCATCCATTACCGGCACGAAACCCAGCCTGCTCCTCAAGCATAGTGTACAATCGGTGGAGAGTGACGGACGCCAACAGCTTTGATGCTATCGGGATTACGCCCATACCCCTATGATTGGCGCAGTCATTGCGCGGGCCCTTTTTGAAGATGGGGACAACAATCGATCCCCCCCCCCCCCCCNACAAGCTTAATCCCGCTATCTTTAAATAGGGCTGGGGAAAGGCCATCGGAGCCCGGCACTTTGTGACGTCCCAAGGATTGGATCTTCTTATGGATTTCTGCCTCAGAGGGTGGGTCTGTTGAGGCACACCATGGGACGTGTGCCAGAATAGCTGTGTGAGAAGCTGACGCTGGAGGTCAGCTAAACTGTGCTTTGAAGTGCAAGACGTAGCTGTTGACTGAATGGGTGAACCGTCAGCTTCGCAGATCATTTCGCTCACACCCGAGGCTTTTCTACCGGTGACCCGGATTAGATGGAACAGCTTACGGGAATTACTCATAGCGGCAGCACGTTCCACCTCTGACGTGTCAGACCACAACTAACTAAGCCAACAGAGTGCAGAGCACTCTTGATACGCGACCAGTGCTGGTTAACGTCATCGGGTGGGGTTGATACTAGCTTTGCAGCTAGTGCATTTTGGAAGAAAGTTAGACAAACTGATTTGGACAGCTTATCACAGTCTAACCGTCGTTTTGTCTTGCATTTGGGACGCTCACCGAAGCACATGGACAGCTTAGAGCATATTAATGCATGGTCGGATTCGAAGGGAGTGCTCCAGTACAATCGGCAGTCTTGAATGCTGCCCCACCATTTGTGGCTTATCCCGATGTGGTCGATCTGTGTCCGTCTCTGACTCAAAGAGAGAGGACGCCAGGTGGCGTACCGGCAGTTGGAGCGCCTGAAGTTCGTACTAGCGAGGAACAGGCGGTGGTCGGAACACAAAGCCAACAGCCGCTCCCCATTTTCCGAGCGACAGGAATCTAGTCCGAAAGGACCTCCCAGGTGCGCCTCACTCGAAGTCAACCGGCCTACTCTAGCATTCATCTCTTGCTAAAATCACAATATCAGCCCGGGGTGCTTTACGCAAGAGGTCGTGTAGGTTGCGGTAAAATTCATCTTTGACTGCATCTGGGCTGCAGTCTGTTGGAGCGTATGCCGATACGACAAACAAGTTTCGTCTATCGTGGTGACGGCTGCTAACCTTGCACGAACCTCTGAGTCTCACNCTCACTGCGCACAACCTACTGTCGATTGGGATCCAATCCAGGAGGGCGGCCTCAGCCTTCTCACGGAGAGCTACGCCGACGCCAGCAAGACCGGAAGACGCAGTTTAAGGGTACCCGGAAAGGCGTAAGTGAGACTTCACAGATTGGTTAGATGGGGACGTCAATCAGATAATGGAGCTGGAGTCTAATGCGAGTTTCTTGGATGCAACACATATCGATGGATAGGGTTTCGAGCGTACGAGCGAAACACGCGTGTTGTCCTATACGCATCAGAGTACGCACATTAAACGTGGCTAGTTTGAAAGGAGGTCGAGAGCGGAGAAGGGCTTCAGCTTGTGGAGGATTCGGTGAGATTACGACAGCAGTCGAAAGATCGGTTGGCATTTGCCAACTTGAGACATCTGTGGCGCCGTCGTCACATCCCGTTGTCTGTGAAGGGTC